TCTGACAGGCGAGAAATGTCTAGAAAAAAAATTCCGAAAAAACCGAAGGACATAAATTACAGGTCGTCAACGCGGAGAGCTTTGTAAATCAGCATTCCCGAGCACTTTGGTTTGACCTCCCTTCGGTTTTTTGGAATTTTTTAGATAATACTGGTGTGTCAAAAGCCTGAAATTACTCGAAAATTCCTACCGTAGTCCTGCAGTAACTAAGAATAATAGGTGATCCGCCCTATACTGTAAGTTTAAGTTGAGGCCTGCCCTACCTTATTGCACCCAGCGATCCGTAAAAGCTTTCCATATAAGGAAGTTACTAAGGATCAAACGTTCGTCGTTCGATGCATTTTTTCGGAACATCCTGTATGTATTTTCGTGGCAGCTTTCAAAATTTATGAAAAATGAACATTTTTTGGAAAATCTTGAGGTGTGAGGGTATAAGCCTAAGATTCCGAAACACTTCGTTGTGACAATCTAATTCAGCAAAGATTTCTATTAGCCGAAAAATATTTGCCGAGAAATAATAATGATGCAGCACAAATGAACTTCTAGTTATCAGTTTTCAAATTGCATGATCTATACTGAATGGATACTCTGATTTTACTGGCAAATCTGGCGCATTTTGATTTGTTTTTGGCTTTTCTCTAGTTTCCCATTCCATTCTCAGTAGTAGCCTAAGCTTACATCCTAGCTGTGATTTGATTCTTTGGCTCAATGATTCATTGCTATGTAAGTCTAGCACGCAACAAATCCAATGCGTTTGCGCAAACTCATAAATATTGCACAATTTGCTGAAAAATAGCTAAGATATAGTCTAAACTTTATTTGCAGGAAATAGCATGGTGCAGTTATTTGCAAGCGTGCATATCGTAACTTTGCGGGAACAAAAGTGCAGAATAAAGTAATGACATACATAGTACATGCCTCAAATGATATTCAGAACAGATACATAGTTTTCATATGCCTTTCTTTTTAAAGGACAATTTCTATAGGAGTAGCTTTCGCAAACTTTTAACTCACCAATAAACGCTCGTTCCATATCCGTCAAGAAAGTGTTGCGGCCGTCGATTCCAGCAAAACACTGCGCTTCTTCGAAGCAAAACTCTCGAAGGCCACCACCAAAGTGGCTCTTCACATTCTTCTTGATATGGCAAAGCTCGGCACCTTTCAGCAAGCTGAACAGATCGCTTACAAGCGGACATTCTCCTACAAAAGGAACAAATACCTTTTATAGGTGGCGGTCAAGTATAGTGCATAGCAATCCTTCAAATTGTGATGTCGTACTTCTATTCTCAGTTGTGGTTCATGTATTTTGATCTATAAAAAAATTGCACACTACATATTACCAGTTTCTCTGCGAACTTACGATGTCTACCAACCATTCGACGATATCTTGCATTCGCTCCTCTTCTTTATTCGACTTGAATGTGATGAGCAGGTCACAGTGTGCGGTAGCTTTAGCATATCTAAAAATCTGCCCCAAATAACTCTCTTGCATTCAAGTCTTTTGCCGAGCTTTAGGTACCAATCTGTAGAGTGAGGTTTAACACTTAGATCTAGTATGGGAACCATCTTCATCAGTGTAGGATTATGGTAGGGACTTGGAGAAGGATTTTAGGAAATTGAAGGCAATTTTGCCTCAGATGGAAAGCCCAACAAGCCAGAAACTCTTGCACTGGACTAATCAAAGTCTCTGATTCTATATATGAAACTTACACTTCACTGTGACGGTTCTTTCATAAGTTATATCAGGTTTAGTATGATAACTGTTTTTTCAATGTTCGTCAGAAGGATGATTACACCATTGAACAAGCTCGAAAACTGGTAAAAAGTTGTTCAGTAAAATCAGCGGGCCTGAAAACCTTGCTACACAAATTTCCAGATTTTTTGGGTTTTGTTTCACGGGCCTATTCCACAGTGTCGCTGTATGCTGAAAGTTTGTACCGTAACCCTACAGATGAAGAGAGATTGATGATTCGCTCCATACTGTAAATCTAGCCTTCGCGTTTCTACCGTAATCTTACAGTAATGAAGAGAGATTGATGACTCGCTCCCTACCGTAATCCTACAGTAATGAAGAAAGATTGATGATTTAAGCAAAAATCGCTTTTAAATCCTAAAAAATCCTTCGCAAAGTTCCTACCGTAATCCTACAGTAATACCTTCGCAAAGTTTCTACCGTAATCCTACAGTAATGAAGAATTGATCTCCCATCTGAGGCAAAAATCGCTTTCAACTCCCCCAAAATCCTCCTTCCGAAACAAAAATCGCTTTTGAATTCCAAAAATCCTTCGCGCGCTACACGAAATTCCAGATTTTTTGGAATATTTTCCATTAAAAGCCTATTTCCACAGTGACGTTGTATGCTGCAAGTTTCTACCGTAATCCTACAGTAATGAAGAGATATGCTGGGAGTTCCTACCGTAATCCTACAGTAATGAAGAGCGTCTTCGCAAAGTTTCTACCGTAATCTTACAGTAATGAAGGGAGACTAAGTTTCTACCGTAATCTTACAGTAATGAAGAGAGGTTGTATGCTGAAAGTTCATACCGTAATCCTAAAGTAATGAAGAGTGATTGATACGCTGTGTACTGTAAATCTAAGTTGAACCTCGCTCTACCCATACTGTAAATCTAAGTTGAACCTCGCTCTACAGAATGTTACCTCAAGTTGATATGAAAGCAAGAGAGCTATTAAAGTTCAAAGGTTCGATACTTATTGGGATACCCTGTAGATTTAGAAAAATGACTGAAAATCTAATGTTTCTTTGAAAATACCTTTGTTTGATAGATTTTTGTTTGTGCAATATACTAACTCCGAAATGTGGTTGTTATGGTAGCTACATTTAGTTTTGCGACATGAAAAGTTACTGGAGGGTTTTTTCTTAAATGAGCAATTCTGCTTTTCCCAGGATGTTTGCCACAGAGTGTGAGGCAATCTATTTCTCAAGCAAATCGATAGGTTTTAAAGAACATGAATTCGAGGTTGAATCTCGGATTTCGAGTATTTCAATGCTAAAAGCCGTGAACGGTCTTACAATTGATCGATCAAGCTGAAGTGCTTCAAGCGTAAAATTTGATGCACAAAGAGATTTTGCATTTTACATTACAAGAATTCAACCGTGATTACAGTTTTCCTGGTTGTTCCTAAGGTTGAAGCTTGTATGTGTCCACCTTACAATGTACTGATTTCTGCATCAACT